GTGAGCAAGACCGCGAGAGGCGCGCGCTGTCGGCCGGCCGGTCGCTACAGCCAGCTCGCCACCGCCGGTTCGTCCCGACGCCTCACGGCCGGAAAGCGACGGCGTCGGCGAGGACGGACGTTTGGTGTACCCTACCGACCTACCGTCGTCCGCACAGTAGTTTCCCTATGCAATGCAATGCATGGGCGGGTGGGTGGATGAATGGGCCCCATCGTCGCCGTCGTCTAGCCTTGGCATCGAGCGAGATCGCGCTGCCGCCAATAATGGCGCGCCTGCCGGGCCACACTCGGCGCCAGTCCGGCGGTTGGGCTTTACTGCCTTGTCGCCCTCCTCCGCCGGCCATCGCACCTGCGGAGAGGTTTCATTTCACCGGACGGAGTTCGTTCGTTCCTCCGCGGTTTTACCACAGTCCGTCCGTTCGTTCGTTGGTTGGTTGCTGCTGGCCCCGGCCGGAACTGGAAAACGGGAGCGCTCCGACCATCGCACCCACGGTCACGTGGGTGCTCCGGGGATACGGTTTGTGTACTCTTTGGGTCCCGCATGGCATGGCATGGCATGGCAGTGTCGCAGCTACAGTTTCGCGCTTGCGGCAACGTTGTGAGAGGTTTATTTATGTCTCGAATTTAATTGACAAGACCGTATAACCAACTGTACTATGCAGTGACTGATTGCGTTACGGATGGTTTCTCATCTTCTTCCTTTTCCCTGTGTTGCCTGTTTTGTCATCAGGCTGTGGGAAATTTGAGCTGCGTCAAATATGTGGATGCGAGATCCCGTATGATGATCACTGAACAAGGCCCTGAGCAGGCAATTGACGCTGTCCTTTGTATTCGAATGCCGGGCCAAATGAGGCGGCTTTAACTGGGCCTCGATGTTTTGCTTGGGCTCGTTGTTGCCTGCACAGTGATCAATATACTATTTTCTTGTTTGAAAAGGAGGATTGCACCGGAAATTTCTACTCTAGGATCATTGTGTGGAGTAGTAATTTTTTTTTGGGGTTGTAAATCAGTACTACCTCCAATCCATAACAAGAAATGTTCAGATCTAGCAGTTTTGAACTAACCCCAATTCAAAACCGCAACCCTTATTTTGGATCGGAGGGAATACCTTTTCTAGAAACTTGCTAAGCTTTATTGATCAAAAGAAATGTTCATTGGGATACAAACTAGGTCATGAGAAACTTCTAGCCACAAGTGGCAACCTTGATCTATACCAATATAAAAAGACCCAAAGGGGCCGATCCAATTAATCTCGGCCATCAAATCATGTCAATCCAACGACCTAGACTGCTTCAATGTCGAACGCTCAACACGTTTAGCATGCAGTTAATTTCATGCCAAATATAGTGCTAATCACATAATAACACGCAAATAATATCCTACTTAATATCCGCATGCACTTAATATACTTCTAAATTAACGTGCATTGCACGTACACATTGACTAGTTAATAGAAAGAACATACTTATCAAAGGTTGTGTGCTTTTATGAGTTGATGCATGCCCCTCGAAATTAAAAACATAGCAAGCAAAGTTATTGTTCCTAGCTATAATCTCCTTAATAATTGTATTGTGCTACGTCGACCTTTTGTCCCATTCTCAATGTCATCAATGATCGGCTTGCAGTCACATGCGATTGAAATCTTCTTCAAATAGAGATCATGGGCCACGACTTGAGCTTCATGGCATGCCAATGATTGTAAATTACTCCCTCCGTTCCTAAATACTTGTCTTTCTAGACATTTCAAATGACTACTACATACGGATGTATGTAGACATATTTTAGAGTGTAGATTCACTCATTTTGCTCCGTATGTAGTCACTTGTTGAAATGCCTAGAAAGACAAGTATTTAGGAACGGAGGGAGTAGTACTTAATCGATGTACGAATCATGCATGAAAGCTACACGACGGGCCGGCCCAACTTGACCAAATGGCACCAGTGCTTGGGTGTTTTTTTCAGCAAATGCTAGATATCACCCACTTGCCTCTGACACTCCCGCATATTGTAGCTTCCTGGAAACTGTTATGTGAAGCTTCTATAGACCGGTTCAGACCGGTTTTTGAAACTTCCAACCAGTTCTGTTTTCCTTTTTGTTTTTCTCTGTGTGTTTTGTTTCGGTTTTCTTTGCATTTTGGTTTTTTTGTTAGTTTTCTGTTTTTCTTCCTTTTTATTGTTACATGTTGGCTTTTTAATTCAAAATGGACATTTTTTAATACACGTTGAATATTTTTTAGATACAAGTTGAAAATTTTTCAAATACATGTTGAACATCTATCAAATGCACACTGAACATCTTTTCTATACACGTTGAACATTTTTTCTGTACATATTGAATGTTTTTCAGATATGAGTTGAATATTCTCAAAATACACATTAAATATTTCTTAGAATACATGTTGAACATTTGATAAATGACCATTGAACATTTTTAAAATACACAATGAACATTTTTTCAAATACATGTTGAACATTTGTTAAATGCTCATTGAACATTTTTAAATACACGATGAATATTTTTCCAACATATATTGAACATTTTGCATAAATGCCATGATTTGTTTTAAGTTGTGAAACATTTTCTAAGTGTTACCAGCATTTGTGAAATGTCAGAATCTTTTTTGTAATGGTACGGAACATTTACAAAATTACACAAACAAAATTATATATTGTATCATTTTTAAATGCCACAAACATATTGTGAGATGTGTGAACAAGTTTTTATTTTGATAAAGCAAATATTTTGAATGATATGAACTTTCTTATAAATTACGTGAACAAATTGATTAAATCACATGAACATTATTAATTTGCAATGAAATTTTTAAAAACTAGGTAAAGTATTTTTTTATAAAAATATACATTTAGAATATTTAATATTTAAAGAAAAAAGAACGAAAAGAAAAGAGTGAAGCAAACTAACTGCTCTCCACTCGGCCAGTCCACTATGAGCTCTTCGAGGCGAGCCGTTTATCCATCTCGCTAGTGGCGAGATAAAGATGCGTCTGTTTTCTTCTATTTCATGTCTGGTTTTCTTCCTTTGTTCCTTCTACCGATTTTTCTCGTTTTGTTTTTCTGCTTTATGATTTTTTTCCTTTCTTATTTTCCAGTTATATTTTGAAAAATAAAGGCATTTGTTTTGATTTGTGAACAGTTATAAAATTTAACAATATTTACATTCTGAACTTATAAAAAATATTTATATTTATATTTCAAAATGTTTTTGTAATTCTTCAATATTTTAATTTTTATGCATATTTTTAAAATATGCAAATATTTTCAAATTTTCATGAAACTTATTTAAATCTATGAGTAATTTAAAAATTCATGAATATTTCACAAGCTCGTTGCTTTTTTTCATTTAGTTATTTTCTTAGGGAGCACATAATTTCTTTCCCAATGAGCTCCATGCGTTATTGGATCAGCACATGCTACCGATCCCCATACATAATTTTTTTCCCAGTGGGTCAATGGACATAGTCATCTAAGGAACGTAAAAAGCATCTTATTAGCCCACCATTTATGCCGAATGGTAAACCAAAAAACCATCTGATATGTTACACAAAAATCAAAATTGAACTGTAGAACCGACCGGTAATAAGATTACATGGTCGTCATCCAAACCTGTTTAGTTTAACTCATGAGATTGTCTCCCACTGGTTGCGCCCAAAGTATTTATGATGGGGTGACGTATTTTGAGTGTCGATGGGCCGAGCCAACACCAGACACAACAACTAGAACCTCTTAGGACTCCACAGCTTTGCTCTACAACTGCCACAACCGCCTCATCATCATGGTTTCGATTCGGCCAACCCGGCCTCGCCGCCATCAGATTCGGTTGTCTACGACACAACTTTGGTTATCTGCAACCACGCAGCCAGCCGATCCGGTTTCACTCGACTTCAATCCAACATTGCTTCATTTGATGGTGGTGCCACAAGCTGCTGCCTATTCCCCGTGCGCGAGGCGGCTGTCACGTCCGTGACTGTTTGTGCTACACAAGGACCATTGGGAGGCAGTGTCCGTGAGGACTAGCAGGAAGCGGCGATAGTGGCAATGGTGAGGGCAAGACAAAGGAGGCATCAATGGACGACAATGGTGGCCCGAGAGTGAACTGCCATGATGAGATCATGGTGTGACGCCGTGAGCTTTAACGGCGCTTGTGTTATTTTTTATGTGTTTTTTGGCGTATGGGCGTTAACTGGCACGATGTTGGTCACTTTTTTTTCTTCTACTGATCATAGCCTAACCCGTTAGTGGTGCTACCTTTTGGCCTGTCGGTGGAGCGGTCATGTGGCGTAGTAATTCTTCGAGGTTGGACTTGGAGTAGATGATTTTCGTATCAAACCTAGTGAAATGAGCTTTAAAGAAATTTTCCATGAATCTTACCGGGTTAAACAAGCCACACAGAAAAAAAAATTGATAACAATGCAAAAATATTCTATTGGATTGAAAATATTCTAGAAATCCTTTGAACTGAAGAGGCCCTAAAGGGAAGCAATGTACATGCATTAATCCGTACATACAAGAGAAAACTTGTTTAAAAGATCACGGACCTACATTGCAAGTGGGAGTTGGCTATCTAATTTAGACTGTTTCAATTCTAATAACAATGTGAAGTCTTCTCGATTACGCTTAATTTGCAGCTTTAAAGTACACTCTTACTGGCGAAAACATGCAGACCATCATCTTCGACGTGAAATTAGTGTTTGCGATGGAAGACTCGACTCGAGATCCCTTTGCCAGGCATGTCGTAGTTAGTGCGCTAATCCTGCCCTTTGAACCCCAGAGGGGGACGCGACGTGAAGACCACCATGACCATCTTCCGAACGATCGTGGAAGCCATCAACTCGTCGTTATTTAATCCTAGCAACATCTTGTGTCGATCTGGACACGGCAAGCGCGCTTAAGCACATATAAGTATGATGAACGGCGCATGTCAACTCTCATCGTACACTGCTCGCAGTCGCAGGTCGAAGCTAGCTAGGATCGATCGCGATCCATGGCGCCGGTCAGCTCGGTGATCGCGCTGGCAGCAGTGCTGGTGGTGCTGCAGCTGTCTGCGGCGGCGGCCGCGGCGGTTGATGCGCGCGGCTGCACCCGGAAGTGCGGCGACGTGGCCGTGCCATACCCGTTCGGCGTCGTCGGCGATCCGGGTGGGGCAGACTGCTACTTGCCGGGCTTGAATCTCACCTGCGAGACGAGCCGCAACGATCCACCTCGGCTGCTGCTCGGCGACGGCACCCTTCAGGTCGTCGAGATCTCCATCGAGAACGGCACCGTGCGCGCCGTACACGCCGGCGACATAAAGATAGACGCCGACGGCAACGGAACGTTCGGCGGCGGACTCAGGGTCCATGGACCCTACATGCTGACCTTCAACAACGAGCTCATCGTAACGGGTTGCAACGTGATGGCGACACTGCAGGAGGAGAGCAGCCACATCATCATGAGCGCATGTGCCTCCTTCTGTCCAGACCCCAATGGCGCCTTCTCGGAAGGTATAGACCACAGTGGCCCCGGCAAGTACTGCAATGGCCAGGGATGCTGCCAGGCGGCCATCGCCGTCATCCGAGACGAGGCAGCGGGCTACGTAGCGTTCAAATGGTTCGGCCAGAACAGAAGCTCGGATAACGAGGCGGGGCCGCCTGCCCGCGTGTTCGTCGCCGAGGAGGGGTGGTTCGATAACTATCACCATGGCGCAATGAAAGTTCCTTTGTCCAAAGATGCAATGGCAGTTCCCATTCTTCTGTACTGGCAGATCGTTGATGTAGACCCGCCTCCGTCAACAGATTACACCAGATGGTTCGCGGGATCCGGTGATTGCCCAACCAAAGTGACCACCAACATATGCAAGAGCAACAATAGCGTGTGCGGTCGGACTAAAGGCTATTACTGCTACTGCAAAGAGGGATACGAAGGCAATCCCTACATCCCCGACGGCTGCCAAGGTTAGTTAGCACTCCCTCCGTTCACAAATAAAAGATGTTGTACTTGCCCCGACTCATATTAATCGTCGCTGATTTAGTACAAGATACTAAATAAATGACAATCAATATGAATCGGACAAAGAACCTTTTCCCTTGATTTAGATGTATATAGATACATTTTACTGTGTATGTTTACTCATTTTAGTCTGTATATAGTCTTTTTTACGGGTTAGTCCGTATGTAGTTTGTATTGAAGTATCCAGTACATCTTATATTTTTGAATGGAGGAAGTGCTAGTTAATGATGCGATCAGCAGAATAATTAGACCAGCATCGAGCTATCTGTTTTAAAAAAAAAGGTCATCGATGCTATTTGTGCCTCCTTTTCCATTTGTACGGTCCATGTGTATCGGTAGGTTGACGATTTGACCAGCCTAATACAAACTATATATTACCTTGATCCCAAAGGTTTTTCTTAGATTGATCAGTATCTACATATATCTAAGTATAGCTTTTCGGGACGAAGGGAGTATCATTAAGAACTTCAAATGTTTTGTTTGTTTAATGGTATAACAAACTCTTTTAAAATGGCCCCAAATTAATATGGACAGTTAATTTGTTTTGGTCTAATGGTTAATATAACCATTACTCCCTCTATAAAGTATTATAAGAGTGTTTAGATCACTACGTTAGTAATACTTTACAGAGGGAGTACCTCTGATGAGCTAAGATCCTATTAACGATTCTCTAGGGCTAATACCATGCACTTGATGCAAATAAAGGAGGTAAATAATTGAGTTAGTAAATCATAAATCACATATATAAACAAGGAAACCTCTAGCAATTTAATTATTCTTATCCCTACCTTCTAGATTCAAAGGGTTGTAGGCTGAACTTTATACAAGGGGAAGCAGTACAACAGTCATTAGTAGTCAGTGGCGGAG